TATAGTTGCAGGTGCCGGTCCGGTGTATCCTCCGCCCTCTTCTTCCCCTTCCCCCTTTTCTTAGCTTCCGTTTTTCTAAATGAAGTATACAGCTTATATTCAGAAAAACTATCCAGGCCCTTGTCCTGTTTGTTTAATACAAGACTCCTATTGATTAATTCATACAGAATTTTGTGTAGGAAAGGCAGGCAGGGAGATACCTTCAACTTGACATTGAAGCAGAAGACTATAGTCATTTCAGAGATTTAAAATTCAATTCAATAACAACATTAATATGACTTCGAGAATACTCTATGAGCTAAGTTGACAATTTTTAATTTTTTTTGGCTCATATGCACCCAATTGAGTAATCTTTTCTACTTGCTCTCTAAATATAGATAACTGCTGTATATAGTCATGCATAATATGAATGATAAAATGATGAATTCTTTAACATTTCACAGAAACTCTGTTTTCCTCTTCTCTGGGCACAAAAAAGATGGCTTCATCCTATAAAGCTATTGGGACAGATTTTGTTCTCATTTAGTCTAATGCGGCCCTACTAAGGGTAGGGGAGTTGACTTAAACTGAAGTGTTGTGGGTGAAAGTAAAATGAAAATCACTGAAAGTAACTACATGCTTTTTCATCTGACTCCAGATCCAAGTTGACAGAATAAATGCCTCCCACTGAAGTGTGCCTGAGATTGGCATTTAGGAACAGTAGACTGCTCAAGGGCAGCCCCAAGCCCTGAGCGACCCTTCCCAGCACCTCTCTCTGGCTGTCCTGAGACATAGCCTGAATGCAGAAGTGGGGCATGCGGTCACCACCTCTCTGAGGTGTCTGCTCTGACCCATCACTGGTCTCTTTGTCAGGGTGGACTTTAGTTTGGGGTGGAAGCCTCATTGACAAAATGCCATTTATTTAAAATATGTCTGGTGCACATTATTGAATAATTAACTACTCTCCTCTTATTCTGCATTATCAGGATATGAAACTTCAAAGCAGGCAGAGGCTCCTAATGGATATCCCCAACAACTCCAGGGAGGGCTGGTAGCTCAGATGTACCCTGTACTTGGTGTTTCTTTTTGGGTAGTTCTAGGCAACTCTTCACACTCAGTGTCTGGGGTTTCTGAGTAGCCGGCAGATGCCCCAACTCTCCCACCGTCAGTACAGGGAGCCTAGATTCTGAACCCTGCTTCTTTGAATTACCTCCTTGGAGCCAGGCACCTATTTTCAGGCATTTAAGGTACTGATCTGGTTGAAGTTAATGGGGCTACTTGCCTGCTTAAAGTCATCCCTGACTGCTTTCTCAGACACGGGCTCACCATCACCTAGATGAGGACACTGTCATCTGTTAGTTCTTTGATGCTGACCGTGTTCTGCAGAGAGAAAAGGCATGGTTTTCTAGCAGCTTACAGGAGCAGAAATAAAGAGGAACTTTTCCTACATCACTGTATACCAGCATAAAGCCGGCATGGGTGGAAGATGTGATCTAGGATTGTTGCTCCAAAGAGCCCACTCTCTAGAATGAAAATATAAGAAAGGTATCATTCAAACATGGGAAGGGAGGTGGGAAGTGTAAAAGGCAGAGTGACCGGAGCAAAGTTTGGCTCATGTCGTGGCATTTCTGTGACTTTTTATAGATTATTATAATAAAAATGAAATAATTGGGGGAACAAATATTTGTTTTTAGTAAATGGAGGGGCTGTAGAGGGAGAACCTAGCAGGACTTAGTGGCAGGGGCAATATTTCAGACAGAGAGAGGAGTCAAGGGGACACGGGGTACAAGGGCTGCTGGAAGATAATGGAGTTGCTAACAGCACCCAGGAAGGATGCAAAGATGATATGGCAGAAAAAGATGTCATAAAGGGGGCCAGAGATGCATGTTTGGTTAAGGTGGGATAAATTAAGAGTGGAGAAAGAAATCTGAGAGTCAAGAACATGGTGGTAGGTGAAGTTCTGTGTAGTCAGATGAGATCATAGCAAAGCAGGGCTGGAAGGGACTTCCAGTGGTCGCCTAGTCCAAACCCCTGCCTGGGGCAGGATCATCCCTGTGCAAACCTTCCTATATGAATCCATTGTCTAAACTCTTAGTAAACCACACAGTCAACCTGGACACAACACAATACAAAACACCCTAACCTGCCACGGGTAAAGCAGGGGGACCATGGTGGCTGATGTCCTGCTGCTGTAAAATGTGTTCAGGAGATCCCAGGAAGAGGGCCATGACCCATGCTGCAGAGGAAGGTAAAACCCCCGCAGTCCATATCAATTTGACTGTAGGGTAAAATCCCTTCCTGGCAATTAGTCTGACCCTGAGTGGAGGAGCAAAACCCTCTAGCCAGGCACCTGCAGGTTTTAAGTCTCAGCAGGAGCACTAACCCACCCTAGGCCAAATCCCCAGACTTGGCATAAGCCAACACTCAGTGCCTCTGAGAGGCTTAAAAACCCTGGCAGATGTGGCAGTGGCAGGGGGTGGAATTCCCTCACAGCCCTGGGGCAACCAGCAAAGCCCAGGAGCACGAGATATACCCTTAGTACAACATAGGCGTGCTTATGCCTAGAACATCCCTGACCGATGGCTGCCCAACTTCTTGAACACCTCCAGTGATGGACAGTGCGCAACTTTCCTAGGCAGTCGATTCCACTGCCTTACTGTTCCAACACTGAAGGAGGTTTTCCTGATGTCCAGTCTAAACCTACTTGGCTGCAACTTCAGGCCATTGATCTGCATTTTTCTCTCTGCAGCAAGCGATCAAAAATATTTTCCCTCTTTTTTATGATAGCCCTTCAGGTATTTGAAGACCATTGTCATGTCCCCTCTTAAGTACCTTTTCCACAAGCTGAAAATGCCTAGCTCAGAGGTCGGCAGCGCCTGGCATACATGCCAGAGCATGGCATGCGAGGCCGTTTTGCTCGGCGTGCCACAGCCAGCCTGGGCAGCTGTCGCCAACCATGGACCCAGGTTGCTTGAAGCAGGTGGTGAAGAGCAAGTAGCCTGGGCTCCATGGCTGGCAGCAGCTGCCCAGAGCCCAGGCCAGATGTGGCAGGCAACTCCGAGCCTGCAGACAGCTGCACTAGGGTCCAGAGTCCCAACCCAGCTCATTGTCATGCACGCATACCTTGAGGAGTACCACAGGGAAGGGACCAGGGCTGTGCCACCGCTGGGGGTTGTGTGTCCGTAAAGGCTGGCTTCTCTGTTAGAGGGTTTGCAACTTGAGACTGTCGCTCCTTGTTCTGTCATCTGCCACCACTAAAAACGGTGTAGCTCCATCCTCTTTTGACCCTCCCTTCAAGCAGTTGAAGGCTGTGATAAATCCCCTCAGTCTCTTCTTCTGTAGACTAAATAAACCCAGTTCCCTCAGCCTTTCTTTACAAATCGTGTCCCTGTAGCCCCCTTACCATTTTTGCTGCCCTGTGCTGGACTCTCTCCAAGTTGTCCACATCTTTTCTGTAGTGAGGGGGGCCCAAAACTGAACACAGATGTTGCCTCACCAATGCTGAATAGAGGGAAATAATCACTTCCCTTAATCTGCTGGCAACACTCCTACCAAGTGAAGAAGTATAGCAGACAAAGTCCAATGCAGAGAGGAGAAAGATGGAGGGAAAGCCATACAGATATGTCCAGAGGAGGTCGTTGATGATATTAGTAATGTGTTTTGTTTTGTTTTTTAAGTGAAATGCAGGATTCAATGGAGTTGTCTCAGTAAGCTAATTTAATGCAACAGGCAGCCCCCCATATCACCAATACAGATATAATGTAACAGCTATGCTAGAATATCAGTGGGGTTGGTGGGTGATGCTTTAAGCAAGATAATAAAAGAATAATCTGATTTTTGTAGTCTAAACCAGTGGTTTTCAACCTTTTTTCAGTTGTGGACCCCTAAAAAAATTCAAATGGAGGTGCAGACCCCCATGAATTGTAAGTGTGGGTATTCACATACTTTTGATTGGTCATAGTCATCTTTCACAGACCTCTTAGACATAGTTTGTGGACCCTCAGGGGTCTGTGGACAGGTTGAAAACCACTGGTCTAAAGTCTAGAGAGACAGTCTGCCAAGGTTGGAGATGAATACTTTGTACCTTTATGGGCTAGAGTCTCCCAGCTTCCCGATGCTACAGAACAATGTGCAGGTTCATAGGTTGACAGACCTTCCCAGTCACTGGTTCCTTAGTCTCATAGCGCACCAGGGCTCAAAATAACAAATCCTGAACCTCAACTTGTGTAGCTTTCAGTAGCTGTTTTTCCAGTTCCTGATTTTGAACCTTCTGGGCTCCTTAAAGCAAGAATTCTTAGATTCATAAAGTTCGAGGGAAGAATGGAAAAGATCATCTAATCTGTTCCTTTACGTATCGCAGGCCAATTAAATTACATCCTGTGTTTGGTATAAAGGACAGCTATGCTTTCTTTCTTGCATAGCTAGGTATCATACATTTCTTTCCTAGGGCTAAAGCAACAGAAAATCAGGGTTGTATATTGAATTCTGGTTTAATATCAGCCTCCTTTGTACGCAAGGGAGTAATTCTTTATTGCATTGAAAATTGCCTTTTGAAGTTCTCAGGTAGGTTTCTGACACAGGATAAATTTTGCACAGTAAAGGACCAAGCATATGATGGGCTGAGCATTTCTTGAGAGATGCTGCATATTCCACACTCATAAGGAAATCAAGGGGTGTTGAATATGCAGATCCCCCTTTCCGCCAAACATCCAGACATGTCACAAGTGGGTCCTAGCACCTGAAATAAGTGAATCAAACAGGTGTGGGCTGGCAAGGCATGCTACTTCTACTCACTTAGCCACACTCACAAAATGTATCAGAAGCAACAGCATCAAGACTGTCCATTCAAAAAGTTTATTGATACTGACATCCCATTTTTCTTTCTTGTAGGCCCCCCTTGTGTCTGTTACAAACCCAGTAGCCCTGCCCAGATACTGGAAGACACTGGGTTTCTTTACCAGGACCATCCACTCTTCTCCAGCAGGCATGATATTTCCCCGTTAACAGCAGAAGCAATTGGTAGTGTCAAAGCTGGTAAGCAAGCAAGATCACTCATGTACCTGCCTGTGAAATTAGCCCTCATTCCTATTTGGTGTCACTGATGCCTTGAGAAGAAATTGGGTAGCTTAGATTTCATAGATTTTATAGACATTAGGGCTGGAAGGGACCTCGGAAGATCATCGAGTCCAGCCCCCCGCCCGAAGGGCAGGAGGTCAGCTGGGGTCATAGGATCCCAG